TGGCCAAAAACTTTAAAAAAAAAAAAAGTTGCTTGGTTATATATTTCTCCATAAGATGTTATTGTCTTAGGTTTAAATCATAAAATTATCCCCCAAAACCCACTTTATTTCCTGCCTGTATTAAATGTATTCCTTTGAAGTAGACTAAATTTAGTACAGGTTGACTATTCCTTATCTAAAATGCTTGAAACCAGAAGTGTTTCTGATACTGGGTTTTTCAGATTTTTGAAATGTTTGAATTATGCTTAGCAGTTGAGCATACCAAATCTGAAAGTTCAAAACCCAAAATACTCAACAAGCATTTCCTTTGAATCTCACTGCTCAAAAAGGTTTAGATTTGGGAGCATTACAGATTTTTGTATTTTGGGATGCTCAACCTGTATATTAAAACTAAGTCTGCCTTAAGTAGAGATAGTAGACCCGCCCTCAGTATTCAGAAAATATGTTGCAGAATAAAATGCTTCCATGTAAAACTTAAAACATCTAATGTTCAAGGTTCTTAGGGAACAAACTCACCATGAAAGATGTAGCTCAGTGGCTAGGGCCCTGATCACATACACCGGGGCTGGCAGTTTCAGACCCAGCCCTGGCCTTCTAAAAACAACAATGACAAGTACAACCAAAATATAGGTGGGCGTTGTGGTGGGCGCCTGTAGTCTCAGCTACTTGGGGGACTGAGGCAAGAGAATTGCTTAAGCCCAAAGAGTTTGAGGTTGCTGTGAGCTGTGACGCCACAGTACTCTACCATGGGTGACCCAGTAAGACTGTCTCAAAAAAAAAAAAAAAAAACCACTTGCTTGAAGGTGTAGAAAATCTTTAAAGTAGATGTTTGGATTTTATTTTTAAAATAACCAATTTTAAAAACCTAAACAAAACTATACTAATGGTTATGTGAAATGTTATGGTAAGGTTTAGAACTAAGTCTGATGCCCTGGCAACTGAATTGCCTCTAAAGGTGCTAGTAATGTGTGATCACTGTGTATAGTTTCTTTTTATAATTCATTCATAAATTGTTATTCTTAATTTCTTAGGGTTTTTTTTTTTTTGAGACGTAATCTTAGTCGCCCTTGGATTGGATGCTGAGGCATCATCAAATTCACAGCAACTTCAAATTCTTGGGCTCAAGTGATTCTCTTGCCTCAGCCTCCTGAGTAGCTAGGATGACAGGTGCCAGCCATAATGGCCAACTGTTTTTAGAGACAGGGTTTCCCTCTTGCTCAGGCTGGTCTCAAACTCCTGAGTTTAAGCATTCCACCCACCTCAGCCTCCCAGAGT